CAATACTTTGTTATATACACTTTGTTGGCAATGACACAGGTCAAATGTTTTCTGTAAGTCTTCACAAGATACAGGGCCCCATTCATTCTTTCCTTTACACGGATCAGTCGTTCTGGTCCCTTTGCAGAAAAACAGCCCCAAAGCATGATGTTTCCACCCCCATGCTTCACAGTAGGTATGGTGTTCTTTGGATGCAACTCAGCATTCTTTGTCCTCCAAACACGACGAGTTGAGTTTTTACCAAAAAGTTCTATTTTGGTTTCATCTGACCATATGACATTCTCCCAATCCTCTTCTGGATCATCCAAATGCACTCTAGCAAACTTCAGACGGGCCTGGACATGTACTGGCTTAAGCAGGGGGACACGTCTGGCACTGCAGGATTTGAGTCCCTGGCGGCGTAGTGTGTTACTGATGGTAGGCTTTGTTACTTTGGTCCCAGCTCTCTGCAGGTCCTTCACTAGGTCCCCCCGTGTGGTTCTGGGATTTTTGCTCACCGTTCTTGTGATCATTTTGACCCCACGGGGTGAGATCTTGCGTGGAGCCCCAGATCGAGGGAGATTATCAGTGGTCTTGTATGTCTTCCATTTCCTAATAATTGCTCCCACAGTTGATTTCTTCAAACCAAGCTGCTTACCTATTGCAGATTCAGTCTTCCCAGCCTGGTGCAGGCCTACAATTTTGTTTCTGGTGTCCTTTGACAGCTCTTTGGTCTTGGCCATAGTGGAGTTTGGAGTGTGACGGTTTGAGGTTGTGGACAGGTGTCTTTTATACTGATAACAAGTTCAAACAGGTGCCATTAATACAGGTAACGAGTGGTGGACAGAGGAGCCTCTTAAAGAAGAAGTTACAGGTCTGTGAGAGCCAGAAATCTTGCTTGTTTGTAGGTGACCAAATACTTATTTTCCACCATAATTTGCAAATAAATTCATTAAAAATCCTACAATGTGATTTTCTGGATTTTTTTCTCTCAATTTGTCTGTCATAGTTGACGTGTACCTATGATGAAAATTACAGGCCTCTCTCATCTTTTTAAGTGGGAGAACTTGCACAATTGGTGGCTGACTAAATACTTTTTTTCCCCCACTGTAGTTGATTTTATTAAAAACCCATAGGGTGTGTCTATATAGGGAAAAATACAAGTTTTAACATTTTGACCAATCGATTGAGAGAAAGAACAGACGGCGATAGGTCGACCCTGATTTTTTTTTTGTCGGGGACAGCGGAAATTAAACTTTAGAAGCCTTTTTAAACCTCGAATACACTGCAAGTTTACATTTCCTGCTGTACAGGACATTTCCTGCAACAACAGGGTGATCAAATTAAGATCCTACACTTGTATGTTAAAGGAGAAATCCACCACTTTTCAACCTCATATTCATCATCTCCAGCACCATACCAGTGTATTTTAGAAATTACATGCATCTACATTCTGTAGTTTCCCTTTAAGATTCAGAGAAACAGAGAAAACAATGTGATTATAATAGGCTACACCTACACTATATTACACAGAGACAAAGATAAACAGACACAAAGAGACCAACAGAGACAGATGGAGAGAGGCTGAAATAGAGATGAGGGAGGGAGAGAGAGGACGAGGAGAGAGATCCTCTGCTTTCAGAGAGCCGTCACATAGGGCCTGAACCCGCACGGCTCAGCACTCCTCCGCTCTACTCCTCTCTGTGTTCTGTCCGTTCCTGTCGTTTATCTGCTTTATTATGTTATCTGGGCTCACACACACCCCCCTCAGGATTCATTACAGCCTTAACTGCTCACTTAGGTTTATGCCCTCTTTAAATTAAACTGCAGATAACCGGGCAGCCAAATAAACACCTGCACTACCGCCGAGAAAGAGCGAGAACTCATTGAAGAGGAAATTAAGGAAAAATAACAGTGTGTGTGTGGTCATCAGTACTGTAAGAATGGTCCCCATCATTAGTAATTCAATTTGCTCTTTATTAGCGGCTCTTATCTGCAGCACAGACGGCTACTTTCCATCTCTCTCCCTCGTTCCATCTTCTATCTCAACATCCTTTCTTTCCTCAATTTCTCCTTCCCTCCCCCTCTCACTCCATCACTCAGAAACAAACAACATAAGTCCTGCTTCAAGCCAGCTACATCTCTACACTTACAGAGGATGATAAAGCACAGAACTAGGAGAAAGAATGACTGGATGGAGGGAGAGAGAGAGACGGGGGGGTCAGAGACAGAACGAGACAAGAGAAGAATTAGACAGCAGGAAACCAATTGAGGACAGATAATTTGTGTGAGAGGGGGAGAGGGAGAGGAGGGTGAACGAAGAGAGAGAAAGGAGAGAGAAACGGAGAGTGAGAGCTATGGAGAGAGTGCCAGACAGCCAGCCATCAGGATGAATAAAGCCTAATGTTAATAGTGATGGCTTTTTTAATGTCTGCTCAACTCCATTGACTGGTGGCGATTACACTGAGATGGGCATGAGAGGGATGCTGAGAATGGAGGGATGGAAGGAAGAGAGGAGGGGCAGAGGGTTGTAAAAACACGGATTGCGTTCCATCAGGTTAGGCCTATATTCTCTAGTTCGTTAAAACAATCCAATTTGCAAAAGGATAATTACGCATTAGCTGCTTTTTATCTAGTGGGCTGGCTGGGGGGAGAGGAGAGTGGTGGTGGTGCCAGGACTTGATAGCAGCAGCCTCTTCCCCACCTACACCCACTGCAAATTACCCACTATCACAGCTCAATTGGGCAATCAATTACTCCCCCCTCCCTACCCCCTACACACACACACAATCACAGCAGCGCTCCATAGGCCTCTCATAGAGAGGAATGCTGCCCCCTATTGGAGAGAGGGGACAGTGTGGAATAACATCAGCACATCGGCCCATTCAAAGCACTGGCAAAGGGCAAATGTCCAACAGTGTCCTAAAATGAGTCACTAAACCATAGAGCTATTTGATAGATTCAATCCACAGTACTCCTGTCCATGTGATGTAATTCTCCACAGAGGGATATACAGTGCCCTCCACAATTATTGGTACCCCTGTTTAAGATGTGGTCGAGGACTTCAAAAAATTCTCATTTTTTTTTAAACAACATAGAACCCAAATGCAAAAAAAGAGAAAAATCCAACCTTTTATTTAAGTACATTACTTTGGTGTAAAAAAAAAAAATCACACATTTAAAAAAAAAAAAAACTTGAAATCAGGTGTCCCACAATTATTGGCACCCCTGATAATACTTTGTACAACCCCCTTTTGCCAACAAGACAGCACTTAATCTCCTCCTATAACATTTCACAAGATTGGAGAACACAGAGAGAGGGATCTTTGACCATTCTTCTTTGCACAATCTTTCTAGATCATCCAGTGTCCTGGGTCCTCTCTTATGCACTCTCCTCTTTAGCTCGCCCCACAGGTTTTCGATTGGGTTGAGGTCTGGGGACTGAGATGGCCATGGGAGGACCTTGAGTTTGTGACTGCTGAACCATTTTTGTGTAGATTTTGCCACATGTTTTGGATCATTATCCTGCTGAAAGACCCAATGACGACCCATCTTCAGCTTTCTGGCAGAGGCCATCAGGTTTTTATTTAAAATGTCCTGGTAGTTCAAAGCGTTCATAATGCCATGCACCCTAACAAGGTTCCCAGGGCCTTTGGAAGAGAAACAGGCCCACAGCATCACAGATCCTCTACCATACTTCACGGTGGGCATGAGGTGCTTTTCGGCATACTCATCTTTTGTTTTACGCCAGACCCACTTAGAGTGTTTGTTGCCAAAAAGCTCAATCTTAGTCTCATCTGACCAAAGCACACGATCCCAGTTGAAGTCCCAGTAACCGCTTAGCTAACTCCAGACGTTTACGTTTGTGAGTGTTAGTGAGAAAAGGCTTTTTCCTTGCATGCCTCCCAAACAGCTTGTTGGCATGTAGAGAGCGTCTGATGGTTGTTTTGGAGACTTTGTGACCCCAAGATGCCACTCTTTGATGCAATTCTGTGACAGTGAGCTTAGGACTTTTTTTTACTTCTCTTACCATCCTCCTCACTGTGCGTTGTGGCAAGATAAACTTGGGACCTCTTCCAGCCTTGTTTGTCACTGTTCCAGTTGTTTTAAACTTCTTAATGATTCCTCTGACTGTAGATACGGGCAAGTTAAGGCGAGTGGCTATTTTTTTGTAGCCATTGCCTGACTTATGAAGGTCGACACAAATCTGCCTTACTTGAATGGTGTGTTCTCTTGTCTTTGCCATGTTGACAAATGGGTAAGAGAATTAGGCCTCTGTGTCACGTCATATTTATACCCCAGGGAAACAGGAAGTCATGAATTACTAATTAAAGTTCCTAGATACCCTGACCAACTTTAGCAACTACAGAAAAATATATTTTTTAAAAAATCAATTAAAATTTTCAGCGGAATTGTTAGGGGTGCCAATAATTGTGGGACACATGATTTCAAGTAATTTTTTTTCTAAATGTGTGATTTTTTTTTACCCACCAAAGTAATTTACTTAAATAAAAGGTTGGATTTTTCTCTTTTTTTGCATTTGGGTTCTATGTTGTTTAAAAAAAAATGAGAATTTTTGGAAGTCCTCGACCACATCTTAAACAGGGGTGCCAATAATAGTGGAGGGCACTGTATTCATTAAGTGAATTCATCACAGCTAACAGAGACAACACCACTCACAACTAGCTGAATTAATTAGCTAGACCTCCTGAGTCCTGAGCAGAAGGAAAATAATAATAAACAATCTATTTATCTAACAGGACCTCTATATGATTTACTATCACTGTCAGTAACAGTGGAAATCTGACAGTGTCTTAAGTTTAAAATTGATAGAAACTCCATTAATTCCTCCATTTATTTCAGAGGTACAGTTGATGTAACAAGGGTCAGAGTTGTTTTTCTGGTCAGTTCACTTCATGGCCTAATATGATGGATTATGTTCACCCCTATATTCCCTAGTGTTTACCAGGACGTCATTGTAATTAGTAAGATCTTATTTATCTTGCCTGTTTAAATAAATGTTAAATAAAGTGCCTACCTGTCCTGGAGGGGCTGGGGGAGAGACGTCGTAGCTTGTGTCTGCCGAACGAGACCAGTTCACGGGACAGGGTCCTCTTCACACCCCCCGGGCTCCAGACCAGGGTGTGTGTCCTCACTGGGGTGTGTGATCGGACCGGGTTGTGTGTCCGGACCGGTGTGTGTGTTCTAACGGGAGTGTGTGTCCGCCGGCGGAGAGAGTAGCGGCTGTTCAGGGTAATGTCTGCTGGGCTGGACCTCCGTTCTGATCCAGACTCACTGTAACACACAGGACAGAGTGTGTGTGTGTGTGTGTGTGTGTGTGTGTGTGTGAGAGAGAGAGCGAGAGTGCGTCTAAACATTCAGAAACAAAATATAGATTTGCTTCCACCCTCTGGCCAAAGGCAATATTACATGTTCACAGATACAAAATCAGGATAAAAAGAGACATTCCAGCATGCATTACTAGACGTAAGAGAATAGGTATGAGACAAGTAAAGACATCTCTGGCTTCCCTTAATCCTCTTTCTCACCTGCTAGCCGACCTCCTGATAATCTTCATCCTGCTCCTGAGTTTGAACCCTCCAGGGGAGGAGGCGGGCACTATAGTGCGTTGAGTTTCAGATAGAGGGACACTGGACACCCCCTTGGCCCCGTTCTCTTTCTCCGAGGTCCAGCGAAACACAGACCCACGTCGGACCCCTATCCCTCCCCCTGTCCCAGTCTGCCCCCCTCCTCCAGACCCTGCCTTCCAGCAGTAGCGACTACTGAGGGTGGTGGAGGAGGAGGCCCCTGCTGCCTTACGCTGCTTGGCTAAAAGATTTGGGGATTTGGGTTTCTTGGCTACCCCCTCTCCCTTCTCTTGATCTCTCTGGGGCAGAGCCAGGGCTTTGGGTGAGAGGGCCTTCCGGGACAGCCTGGCCTGGCCCCCTGCAGAAGATGACACCCAGGTGTACTTGGAGGTCTTAGGGACTGCGGTGGATAAACTGAGCCTACGGGGAAACTTCTTGATGGGGGCAGAGGCTCTTCTACTGGGGATGGGTGAGGGTGAGGCACCACTGGGGACCACGGGATGGGAGACTGGGATGGGGGAAGGGGTGATGAATTTGTCTGAGTGCTGGGCCTCTGTTCTGGCCTGTCTGGGCCCAGCTCCTCCTGGCTGATGGCTGTTCACCCAGGTGAACTTGGAGTGTCTCTGGGGAGAAGAGGTTGTCTGGGGCTGGGCTGGTGTGGGCTTGGACCTGGGGCTTAGTGGGGGTCTTGGTAGGGCACTAGGGGGGGCAGAGAGAGGGGGTGGAAGAAGTAGAGGAGGTGGGTTCGCATCTCTAGGAATGACAGTGTGTGTACCTCCTGTGTTGGTTTTCTCAGAGAGATGAGGTCTGATATGCTGCTGAGCAGTGCTCTGGACCCTGGTGGCAGTGACAGTAGGTTTGTCTGAGACAGGGACACTTGTCAATTCTGTATTATTTTCTCCAGGGGAAGTGGCTATCACAGGCCCCATGCCCTTCCCTTCAGTGGTGGGCTGAACCTCATGTTTAGTCTCTCTCTGCTGGTCGTCTGGAGGTGCAGGCCCTGTTAGCCCAGAGAGTCCCAGCCCAGCCTCACCCCCAGGTCCTGTCCTCGCTCTGTCTGACTCAGTCTCTAACTTTATAGCTGTGGATCCACTGCCTGTCCCAGTCACAGTTCTTCTCACTCCCCCTGTGAGTGCATATTGCTGGCCCCTTGGACATGGTCCTGTTAGATCCCTAGATGTAGCACATTTTGTTCCATGCTTCTCTCCTCTAGCCGGGTCCTTACTGCTGTGGCTGGGCTGTGAGGTGCCTGTAGCATTAAGGGACAGCAAGCCAGTAGAAGAGTTGGGTTCTGCAGAAACTAAGGGCTCCTCTAAAGAGGGCTTGGCAGTCTGTATAGTAGGTCTACTCTGCTGGGCTGAGTTGGTCTTGTTATTGAGGGAGTAGGTCTTCCTCCAGTGTCCCGCGGACTGAGGGGGGTAAGGCCCACCCTGGGAGGGGAATGTGGAGGTGAAAGCTGAGCTGTGACCCCTGCCTCGTGGCGGTGGCCTCGCTGAGTGCCACTGCTGGCCAGAAGTAGAAGGGGCATCCCCATGGACACTCTTATGGTTGTTGATGAGACCTGTTAGATGACAGAAAGATGTTAAGATGTAGCTGGCAAAAGTGGTACATTAAAGTTGAAAGGCGTACATCTAGCTAGCCTCTACGTTCTATCGTCCATTTGTAGAGACTAGAATATAGCTAGCAACCTGCTAGCGATAGCCAGCTAGCTAGCTAGGCATAAACAGAGAACGTGTTGGTTCGCAAAGCCAACACAGCAATCGTAACAACTCTCAAATGTAATAGTTCACTATTAGATAGTTATTAAATATAATACATCAGTAATGTTAACTGTACTGTAAACCACCAACTTACTTTGCAACAGATCAATTTGCCTTTTCAGCGCGTCTCTCTCCATGTTTACGTCCGAAGCTCACATCGTCATCATACAGCGCCGCGGTAAATGTGTATTTCGGCGTTCATATCAACTGGGAACTCGGAACTGGTGCCTAGTTCAAACAACTGGGAACTCGGAAAAAACGTTCTCCGACTGGGAAAATTCGATTTGAACGGTCATCCAACTTGGAATTCAAACTCGGAACTCGGGCCTCTTTCTAGAGCTTTGACTTTCGGACCTGAATATCACTGACGTGATGATTCCCAGTTATTTTGAACGGGGCAAATGACGACACACCAGTGAAACGAAAGGGGAAGTGAAGTGACTCGCTAGCTAGATACCGATCAAATCTTACCTACTGTCGTAAGAACATTTACATTACAACTTATAAGGTAAACAATACAGACTAACATTTTATATATAGTTACAGCATATGACTGGGGTTTTATGAACATACAGCTAGTAGTAAATGGACTGATAGCTATTGCTCAATGCAATGGGGGAAAAAATAGCTGCAATCGAAGTTGGTTTGCACTTTGCTTGGTAGTAGCAGTTGCCAGCTGGCTTTCACTTTCTACGTGTGGTCTAATGCTGGTGTTATAAGGGACTTTTGGGGGTTTTGAGTAAGTTTACGTATGTGTATACATGTACAGTTCATTCGGAAAGTATTCAGACCCCTTGACTTTTTCCACATTTTGTTACGTTACAGCCTTATTCTAAAATGGATTAAATAGTGTCCCCCCTCATCAATCTGCACACAATACCCCATAATAACGGAAGCAAAAACATGTTTTTAGAAATGTTTGCAAATTTATAAAATACAAAAACGGAAATATCACATTTACTTAAGTGTTCAGACCCTTTACTCAGTACTTTGTTATTTTTTTTATTTAACCTTTATTTAACTAGGCAAGTCAGTTAAGAACACATTCTTATTTACAATGAAGCACCTTTGGCAGCGATTACAGCCTTGAGTCTTCTTGGGTATGACGCTACAAGCTTGGCACACCTGTATTTGGGGAGTTTCTCTCATTCTTCTCTGCAGATCCTCTCAAGCTCTGTCAGATTGGATGGGTAGCGTCGCTGCACAGCTATTTTCAAGTCTATCCAGAGATGTTCGATCAGGTTCAAATCCTGGCTCTGGCTGGGCCACTCAAGGACATTCAGAGACTCGTCCCGAAGCCACTCCTGCGTTGTCTTGGCTGTGTGCTTAGAGTCGTTGTCCTGTTGGAAGGTGAACAGTCGCCCCAGTCTGAGGTCCTGAGCGCTCTGGAGCAGATTTTCATCAAGGATCTCTCTGTACTTTGCTCTATTCATCTTTCCCTCGATCCGGACTAGTCTCCCAGTCCCTGCCACTGAAAAACATCCCCACAGCATGATGGTGCCACCACCATGCTTCACAGTAGGGATGGTGCCAGGTTTCCTCCATATGTGAAGATTGGCATTCAGGCCAAAGAGTTCAATCTTGGTTTCATCAGACCAGAGAATCTTGTTTCTCATGGTCTGAGAGTCCTTTAAGGGCCTTTTGGCAAACTCCAAGCAGGCTGTCATGTACCTTTTACTGAGTGGCTTCCGTCTGGTCACTCTACCATAAAGGCCTGATTGGTGGAGTGCTGCAGAGATGGTTGACCTTCTGGAAGCTTCTCCCATCTCCACAGAGATGGGAGCACTGTCAGAGTGACCATCGGGTTCCTGACCAAGGCTCTTCTCCCCTGATTTGCTCAGTTTGGCTGGGCGGACAGCTCTAGGAAGAGTCTTAGTGGTTCCAAACTTATTCCATTTAAGAATGATGGAGGCCACTGTGTTGTTGGGGACCTTCAATGCTGCAGGCATTTTTTGGTACCCTTCCCCAGATCTGTACCTCAACACAATCCTGTCTCGGAGCTCTACGGACAATTCCTTCGACCTCATGGCTTTGTTTTTGCTCTGACATGCACTGTGGGACCTTATATAAACAGGTGTGTGCCTTTCCAAATCATGTCCAATCAATTGGTCCTCTGTAGCTCAGCTGGTAGAGCACGGCGCTTGTAACGCTAAGGTAGTGGGTTCGATCCCCGGGACCACCCATACACAAAAAATGTATGCACGCATGACTGTAAGTCGCTTTGGATAAAAGCGTCTGCTAAATGGCATATTATTATTATTATTATAAATTGAATTTACCACAGGTGGACTCCAATCAAGTTGTAGAAACATCTCAAGGATGATCAATGGAAACAGGATGCACCTGAGCTACATTTTGAGTCTCATAGCAAAGGGTCTGAATTCTTATGTAAATAAGGAATTTCTGTTTTTTATTTTTCATACATTTGCAAAAATGTCTAAAAACCTGTTTTAAATTTGTCATTATGGGGTATTGTGTGTGGATTGATGAGGGGAAAAAATTATTTGATCCATTTTAGAATAAAGCTGTAATGTAACAAAATGTGGAAAAAGTCAAGGGGTCTGAATACTTTCCGAATGCACTGTAGATGTATAGATTGCATCTGTGCCATTATGTCTGTGACATTTTACATGAATATTTTAGTCATTTAGCAGACACTCCTATCCAGAGCAAATTACAGTTAGTGCATTCATCTTAAGATAGCTAGGTGGACAACCACATATTACAGTCATAGTAAGTAAATTGTTCCTCAATAAAGTAGCTATCAGCAAAGTCAGAGCTAGTAAGGGGGAAAAAAGTTGAGTGTTAGTTCACGAAAGGCATTTATCAAATGTTTTTCTTGGGGTGGGGGGAGGGGGTACAAGGGGGGGGGGCGGGTGCTTTGGGATTATTTAAGATACTCTTTGAAGAGGTAAGGTTTCAGATGTGTTTGGAAGATGGGCAGGGACTCTGCCGTCCTAGGTTCAGGGGGATGCTGGTTCCACCATTGGGGTGCCAGGACAAAGAAGAGTTTGGACTGGGCTGTGGGAGCTGGCCTCCCACAGCTACCCTTTGTCATTATGGGGTATTGTGTGTAGATTGATGAGGAAAACATTTTATTTAATCAATTTTAGAATAAGGCTGTAATGTAACAACATGTGGAAAAAGGGAAAGGGTCTGAATACTTTCCGAATGCACTGTATGTGTGTATATACAGTTGAAGTCGGAAGTTTACATACACTTAGGTTGGAGTCATTAAAACTCGTTTTTCAACCACTCCACAAATTTCATGTTAACAAACTATAGTTTTGGCAAATCGGTTAGGACATCTACTTTGTGCATGACACAAGTGCATCCAACAATTGTTTACAGACAGATTATTTCACTTATAATTCACTGTATCACAATTCCAGTGGGTCAGAAGTTTACATACACTAAGTTGACTGTGCCTTTAAACAGCTTGGAAAATTCCAGAAAATGATGTCATGGCTTTAGAAGCTTCTGATAGGCTAATTTACATCATTTCAGTCAATTGGAGGTGTACCTGTGGATGTATTTCAAGGCCTACCTTCAAACTCACTGCCTCTTTGCTTGACATAATGGGAAAATCAAAAGAAATCAGCCAAGACCTCAGAAAAAAAATGGTAGTCCCCCACAAGTCTGGTTCATCCTTGGGAGCAATTTCCAAACCCCTGAAGGTACCACGTTCATCTGTACAAACAATAGTACGCAAGTATAAACACCATGGGACCACGCAGCTGTCATACCGCTCAGGAAGGAGACGCGTTCTGTCTCCTAGAGATTAACGTACTTTGGTGCGAAAAGTGCAAATCAATCCCAGAACAACAGCAAAGGACCTTGTGAAGATGCTGGAGGAAACCGGTACAAAAGTATCTATATCCACAGTAAAACGTGTCCTATATCGACATAACCTGAAAGGCCGCTCTGCAAGGAAGAAGCCACTGCTCCAAAACCGCCATAAAAAAGCCAGACTACGGTTTGCAACTGCACATGGGGACAAAGATCAGACTTTTTGGAGAAATGTCCTCTGGTCTGATGAAACAAAAATAGAACTGTTTGGCCATAATGACATCATTATGTTTGGAGGAAAAATGGGGAGGCTTGCAAGCCGAAGAACACCATCCCAACCGTGAAGCACGGGGGTGGCAGCATCATGCTGTGTGGGTGCTTTGCTGCAGGAGGGACTGGTGCACTTCACAAAATAGATGTCATCATGAGGAAGGAAAATTATGTGGATATATTGAAGCAACATCTCAAGACATCAGTCAGGAAGTTAAAGCTTGGTCGCAAATGGGTCTTCCAAATGAACAATGACCCCAAGCATACTTCCAAAGTTCTAGAAAAATGGCTTAAGAACAACAAAGTCAAGGTATTGGAGTGGCCATCACAAAGCCCTGACCTCAATCCTATACAAAATTTGTGGGCAGAACTGAAAAAGCGTGTGCGAGCAAAGAGGCCTACAAACCTGACTCAGTTACACCAGCTCTGTCAGGAGGAATGGGCCAAAATTCACCCAACTTATTGTGGGAAGCTTGTGGAAGGCTACCCGAAACGTTTGACCCAACTTAAACAATTTAAAGGCAATGCTACCAAATACTATTTGAGTGTATGTAAACTTCTGACCCACTGGGAATGTGATGAAATAAATAAAAGCTGAAATATATCATTTTCTCTACTATTATTCTGACATTTCACATTCTTAAAATAAAGTGGTGAACCTAACTGACCTAAGACAGGGAATTTTTACTAGGATTAAATGTCAGGAATTGTGAAAAACTTAGTTTAAATGTATTTGGCTAAGGTGTATGTAAACTTCCGACTTCAACTGTATGTACAGTACCAGTCAAAAGTTTGGACAAGCCTACTCATTCAAGGGTTTTTCTTTATTTTCACTATTTTCTACGTTGTAGAATAATAGTGAAGACATCAACACTATGAAATAACACATATGGCCCACTATGTCCACGCTCGTCGGATGTGGCAGGGCTTGAAAACTATTACAGACTACAAAGGGAAGCACAGCCGCGAGCTGCCCAGTGACACAAGACTTCCAGACGAGCTAAACCACTTCTTTGCTCGCTTTGAGGCAAGCAACACTGAAGCATGCATGAGAGCACCAGCTGTTCCGGATGACTATGTGATCACGCTCTCCGAAGCCAATGTGAGTAAGACTTTTAAGCAGGTCAACATTCACAAGGCCGCAGGGCCAGACGGATTACCAGGACGTGTACTCCGAGCATGTGCTGACCAACTGGCAAGTGTCTTCACTGACATTTTCAACATGTCCCTGACTGAGTCTGTAATACCAACATGTTTCAAGCAGACCACCATAGTCCCCGTGCCCAAGGACTCTAAGATAACCTGCCTAAATGACTACCGACCCGTAGCACTGACATCTGTAGCCATGAAGTGGAACACCTACGTGAGAATGCTATTCATTGACTACAGCTCAGCATTCAACACCATAGTGCCCTCAAAGCTCATCACTAAGCTAAGGATCCTGGGACTAAACACCTCCCTCTGCAACTGGATCCTGGACTTCCTGATGCCCCCCCACGCCATCTTTTTACGCTGCTGCTACTCTGTTAATTATTTATGCATAGTCACTTTAACTCTACCCACATGTACATATTACTTCAACTACCTCAACTAGCCGGTGCCCCCGCACATTGACTCTGCACCGGTACTCTGAACTAGCCTCCCTACTGTTATTTTATTTTACTTCTGCTCTTTTTTTCTCAACACTTTTTTGTTGTTGTTTTATTTGACATTTTTATAAAAAAATAAATGCACTGTTGGTTAAGGGCTGTAAGTAAGCATTTCACTGTAATGTCTGCACCTGTTGTATTCGGCGCATGTGGCCAATACAATTTGATTTGATTAAAGTAATGATGGACTGTCGTTTCTCTTTGCTTATTTGAGCTGTTCTTGCCGTAATATGGACTTGGTCTTTTACCAAATAGGGCTATCTTCTGTATACCCCCCTACCTTGTCACAACCCAACTGATTGGCTCAAACGCATTAAGAAGGAAAGAAATTCCACAAATTAACTTTTAAGAAGGCACACCTGTTAATTAAAATGCATTCCAGGTGACCTCATGAAGCTGGTTGAGAGAATGCCAAGAGTGCAAAGCTGTCAAGGCAAAGGGTGGCTATTTGAAGAATCTCAAATCTCAAATATATTTTGATTTGTTTAACACTTTTTTGGTTCCTACTTGATTCCATATGTGTTATTACATAGTTTTGATCTCTTCACTATTATTCTACAATGTAAAAATAAAGAAAAACCCTTGAATGAGTAGGTGTGTCCAAACTTTTGACTGATAGTGTGTGTGTGTGTGTGTGCTGTATCTATGTATGTAACAGCATGCGTAACATGCTATGCCTTGTATATTTTGTTTCTAATGACTGTAGTAAACATGTTATGACAATGACCATCTCTATTCAAACCCTATTTCTTCCCTGCAACAGCCATGGACGCATGCGATGAGAAGATGTACTTCATCATCATTGAGAATCCTGCATTTTCCATCAAGCACACCAATGATGGCCACATCTGCTACATCCAGGAGAGCAGGTACATGTCAAGGTTAAGCAGATCTGAAACTCTGGAGGAATTGCCTGTCATCTTAATGGGCTCCTGTTTTGACAAGGACCTGAATGTAAACCACCTAAAATCAGTGACCGCTAAGGAGGCAGAGCTGCTGGAAGCCCTAGGACAGGACTCAGAGAGACTGAAGTGGTATTTAGAGAGGGATGCTTTGGGTACAGCCCTGGGTTTAACTAAGGATACACCTGTCACTGTGGAGATGGAAGGGAAGTGGCTGCGTGGAATTGTACGCTACGTCGGAAGGATGACAGAGCCAAAATACCCAGACCCCATCGTAGGAACCTTCTTTGGCATCGAACTACAGGTAGCCTTTGTGAATTTTGTATGTTCATAAGTGTATTATGCTTTTGGAAATGTGTTATCCATGTGATATGGATATGTAGAATATCTACCGGGTTATGCACATGCCCTCTGAATTTCTCACAGGGAGAAGACAGAGGAAAGGGACTGAGCGATGGGACATATCTGTCCAAAACCCTATTCTCCTGCAAGAGAGACTGTGGGGTTTTTGCTCCATTTTCCAGAGTGAAACCCGTGGTTTCCAAACCCAAAGTGGTGTCCAAGTGTCTGACCTTTCCAGCAGACCAGCCGTCCCCGCAACCGTTCCCCCAACAGGCCCACCATCAGCCCCTCTCCACCGGAGACAGAGTCACCTTCTTCATGGACGAGGACATCCGCCATGGCATGGTGATGGATCTGGAGAAGAAGGAGGACAGGACCTTAGTCATCATCTCTACTGTGAGTGTAGAATGATTGGACGATAGAGCTGTGAGATGTGGCCTATAGCATGGGAAGTATTTGGCTTTTGGGGTGTGACAGGTGTGTTTCCTGTGATTGCAGGACCGGGATGAGAAGATCACCATACCGCTGGAGAGCGTCATCAAGGGGGAACTGCTTCAATATGGTGTGTGTGTGTCTGTGTCTGTCTGTGTCTGTCTGTGTCTGTCTGTGTCTGTCTGTGCATAATTGTAATAGACTGCATGCAAATGTATTTTTTGATGCCATTGTTTGAGTCTTTGTGTTGACCACAGAGCCTGAGCCTATGGAAACGGATAAGGTCATTATGCCTATGGAGGAGGTTCACCCCTTGGGGCTCGGTGTAGACTCTCTGGTGGAGGTGACTCTGGCTATAGGACCTGGCTATGGAACCATCCGCTGGATAGGCACTCTGCCTGGGCAGAAAGGAACCTACGCTGGACTGGAGCTGGTAAACTGTCTCAACACTGGCCTCTAATGTTCACATTATGTACTGCATGGAACCTATCTTGGGCTGGAGATCAATTAATTGTTCTGTTTTATCTCTAAGGTCAACTACTCTCCACTTCTCTCTCTCTCTCTAGGAGGATGGGTACACTGGGGTTAGTGATGGTACATTTAAAGACCATCGGTTCTTCAGCTGTCTTCCTAGACAAGGTCTCTTCGTCAAGCTTCTATCCTGCCGGCCTGACTCCCGCTTCCAGGGGGCAGCAGCCAATCAGAATGAGAGGGCATCCGCCAATGTGCTTAAAGGTCAAAGAAACTGCCTCTTGTAGCATACCAAAGACCATTACAGCCGATCACATAACAAGTCATTTTTTGTTTGAGCTTGCCTGACTTAATGAATAAATTCCTACAACTGCAAAAACTGCCCATTAGGCACTCCAGGCAGACTCAAGCAAACGCTCAAAGTATTTGAAAGATTTCAGATAGTATTTGAACCCAGGTCTGGTCTGTGTGTGAGACTGCAACTCTTTGACATGGTGTGTGTTTTGTACTCCCTCAGAGAGACAGCTGGTCCGCAGCCCTGGGGCACTCCCCTCCTCCCCCATCGCCTCTGAGCAGGTCGAGAGGATGCTGATTGGTCGAATGAAGGGGATCCAGGGCCATATAAACTCCTGCTACATGGACTCTGCCCTCTTCAGGTGAGTATGATGAAGATGATGATGGTGATGACAATGTCTATTGTTTATAAAGAGGAAATTAAAAGATAGACACACTGACAGCTCCTCCCTGCACCCATAAAACACACTCACTCACTCTCTCATCTCTCTCTCCCTCCCTCTCTCTCTCTCTCTCTCTCTCTCTCTCTCTCTCTCTCTCTCTCTCTCTCTCTCTCTCTCTCTCTCTCTCTCTCTCTCTCTCTCTCTCTCTCTCTCCCCCTCTCTCTCTAACTCTCTCCAGTCTGTTCTCCTGTTCCTCAGTGTTGGACTCCCTGCTGTTTAAGTCAACAGAGCCGAGGGATGCCCCCATCCAGAGTACCCTGCTACATGACATCGTCAACCCCCTCCGCAGGTCAGACAATGTGTGTGTGTGTGTGTGTGTGTAGGCTTAGGAGATTGTAGGCTTGGGGGTGTTAATACATGTGTGTATTGTTGTCTATGTGCAGTAAAGGCTTTGTGGAAGGGAGACACATTATGAAGCTTCGTCAGCAGCTGCAGGAGCTTGGCTACTGCCACACATTCACCACAGAGGAGAAAGGTAAACAAACATCTGCCTTACTGCTATAGCCTCTCTAACAGGACAGTCATAACTGTAACTGTAAATAAGGACTGAGTGTGACTGTGTGTGGTTGTGTTCTTGTTCAGATCCAGAGGAGTTTCTTACCCTCATCATGCACCATATTTTCTGTCTGGATCCTCTCCTCAAACTGTAAGAATACCTTACTCTATTCTATATTCTATTTTAATTGGAATGTAGCTTTTCACTACACCTATGTAATACATACTTGATTACCAGACTTTACCTGGTAATAAACAAATATAAAATACTTTACCTGTTGTCTCCAGGTCAGCTGGGGGTAAGGTCCAGGAGAGTTACTGTTATCAAATTTTCCTTGATAACAACCACAGCCTGGTTCTACCTACTGTCCAACAACTACTGGAACACTCCTTCCACAACGCAGCACTCAAAATGGCAGAGGTAGGGGTGTAAGTGTGTGCTCACTGTGCTCACTGTGCTCACTGTGTTCACTGTGCTCAATGTGCTCACTGTGTTCACTGTGCTCTATGTGCTCACTGTGTTCACTGTGCTCACTGTCATTTATCTGAAATTCCTGTAGATGGCACTGTTTGGTAAGTCTTCTGCTACAACTGAACAAATGTGTTTTTATGACTATACTAGATTCTATACAACTGTCTCCAGATTGGTAATCTACTGTAGTCAGTGGTTCTGTAGTCACTGTATGTCCCTTCCTCTCCTCTCTAGGTGCCATCTTGTCTGATCCTCCAGATGCCTCGCTTTGGGAAGAAGTTCAAGATGTTTCAGAAGATCATCCCTTCACTGGAGCTGGACATCACTGACCTCCTCTCTGAAGGTAGGTTACACACACACACAGACATTGCCACTCAAGGATACACCATATATTTGTGCAGTTTGGCGAGATGTAATGTGACATGGTGTGTGTGTTCAGGTCCCCAGCAGTGTGTGTTGTGTGGCCAGCTGGCGAATGAGGAGTGTGTGGAATGCTTCAGAGACCCAGTCTTCAGCAGGACAGGATTTAAAGTGTTCTGCAGGACCTGCTCCTCTCAGGTAGGGTGTAAGGACACACTGACACACTCCACTCTGTGTGTGTGTGTACCTGTCATAGTGTTGTGTGTTACCTGTGTGTCATTATATGCGAATGAGATCGTACTACATAGCAGTCGGAGTGCACAGAATCATCATGTACAAATCACTTTGCATCCCAATGAATTGCTCTTTATTTGATTAAGATTAGTGATTACTCCTCTGTTTCCTTCTCCAGGTGCACTCTCACCCCGAGCGGCTGTCCCACGGCCCCTCCCCCCTGCAGCTCCCTGAGGGTTACCCTGTCCCCACTGCCCTTCGAGCCCCACCCCCTGCCCCACCCAGAGAGAGACTGGAGCTGTTTGCAGTGCTGTGCATAGAGACCAGTCACTATGTCTCATTCATCAAACACGGACCAAACAGCACAGACTGGATCTTCTTTGACAGCATGGCTGACAGACAGGGTGAGGTTGTGTGGAATATGCAGTGGCTGAAAACCGTCCTTCTTTCCTCCATTCCTCTCAAAGCTCATTGGAGGTCAGAAGGAAGCACCTTGGATCCTTTCCTCCAATACACATTGAGAGGAATGGAGGAAACAAGGATGGCGAAAGCAAGGATTTGACAGCTAGTAATGTTTTCAGACACAAACAGTGGGTTGGGGTTTTCTCTGTCTCTCTCTCATTCTCTGTCGCATTCTCTCTCTCATTATCTCTCTCTCTCTCTCTCTCTCTCTCTCTCTCTCTGTCTCTCTCTCTCTCTCTCTCTTTCTCAATTCAATTTTCAATTTAAGGGCTTTATTGAAATGTGAAACGTATGTTAACATTGCCAAAGCAAGTGAAGTAGATAGTAAACAAAACTGAAATAAACAAATATTAACATTAAACATTACACTCAGAAGTTCCTAAAGACTAAAGACATTTCAAATTTCATATTATGTATATATACAGTGTTGTAACAATGTGCAAATAGTTAAAGTACAAATGGGAAAATAAATAAACAGAAATATGGGTTTTATTTGCAATGTTGTTTGTTCTTCACTGGTTGCCCTTTTCTTGTGGCAACAGGTCACAAATCTTGCTGCTGTGATGGCACACTGTGTTTTTTCACCCAGTAGATATGGACGTTTATCAAAATTGGGTTTGTTTTCTAATTCTTTGTGGATCTCTGTAATCTGAGGGAAATATGTGTCTCTAATATGGTCATACATTTGGCAGGAGGTTAGGAAGTGCAGCTCAGTTTCCACCTCATTTTGTGGGCAGTGTGCTCATAGCCTGTCTTCTCTTTTGAGAGCCAGGTCTGCCTACGGCGGCCCTTCTCAATAGCAAGGCTATGCTCACTGAGTCTGTACATAGTCAAAGCTTTCCTTAAGTTTGGGTCAGTCACAGTGGTCAGGTATTCTGCCACTGTGTACTCTCTGTTTAGGGCCAAATAGCATTCGAGTTTGCTCTGTTTTTTTGTTCATTATTTCCAATGTGTCAAGTAATTATCTTGTTGTTGTTGTTGTCCTGGGGCTCTGTGGGGTCTGTTTGTGTTTGTGAACAGAGCCCCAGGACCAGCTTACTTAGGGGACTCTTCTCCAAGTTCATCTCTCTGTAGGTGATTGCTTTGTTATGGAAGGTTTGGGAATCGCTTCCTTTTAAGTGGTTATAGAATTTAACGGCTCTTTTCTGGATCTCTCTATCTCTCTCTCTCTCTCTCTGTCTCTCTCTCTGTCTCTCTCTCTCTCTGTCTCTCTCTCTCTCTGTCTCGCTCTCGCTCTCCCTCTCATTCTCTCGCTCTCATTCTCATTCTCTCTCTAATTCTCTGTCTCTCTCATTCTCTGTCTCATTATCTCTCCCTCTCATTATCTCTCTCTTTCTCTGTCTCTCTCTCTCTGTCTCTGTGTGTCTCTCTCTCTGTCTCTTTCTGTGTCTCTCTCTCTCTCTCTGTCTCTCTGTCTCTCTCTGTGTGTCTCTCTGTCTCTCTCTGTGTGTCTCTCTGTCTCTCTCTCTGTCTCTGTCTCTGTCTCTGTCTCTCTGTGTGTGTTTGTGTTTCAGGAGAGAGGGATGGCTTCAACATTCCCCAGGTGGAGGCATGTCCAGAGGTTGGCATGTACCTGGACATGTCACCTGCTGAGATGGCCAATCAGGTGCCTCGGGACATGAAGGGCGTGGCTAAGCGTCTGTTCTGTGATGCCTACATGTACCTGTACCAGAGTACCAGCATGAGCCTCTACCGCTGACAGGAGGGGAGGGACCATCTGGGTAATTCCACACCTCAAAATTGAGAGTTTTACAACTATTGTACTACTTGCCTGTAAGTTAAAAGGGATGGGATCTCTATTCACTGCTTATACTGTCCAAATTGCCTTATGATATACTATATGTATATTCGCTACCGGTCAACAGTTTTAAAACACCTACTCATTCAAGGGTTTTTCTTTATTTTTTACTATTTTCAACATTGTAGAATAATAGTGAAGACATCACAACTGTGAAATAACACATGGAATCATGTAGTAACCAAAAAAGTGTTAAACAAATCAAAATATATTTTATATTTGAGATTCTTCAAATAGCCACCCTTTGCCTTGATGAGAGCTTTGCGCACTCTTGGCATTCTCTCAACCAGCTTCACCTGGAATGCTTTTCCAACAGTCTTGAAGGAGTTCCCACATATGCTGAGCACTTGTTGGCTGCTTTTCCTTCACTCTGCCGTCCGACTCATCCCAAACCATCTCAATTGGGTTGAGGTTCGGGGGGATTGTGGAGGCCAGGTCATCTGATGCAGCACTCCATCACTCTCCTTCTTGGTAAAATAGCCCTTACACAGCCTGAAGGTGTGTTGGGTCATTGTCCTGTTGAAAAACAAATGATAGTCCCACTAAGCCCAAACCAGATGGGATGGCTTATCGCTGCAGAATGCTGTGGTAGCCATGCTGGTTAAGTGTGCCTTGAATTCTAAATAAATCACAGTGAGTGTCACCAGCAAAGCAACCCCACACCATAACACCTCCTCCTCCATGCTTTACGATGGGAAGTACACATGCAGAGATCATCCGTTCACCCACACCGCGTCTCACAAAGACACAGCGGTTGGAACCAAAAATCTCAAATTTGGACTCCAGACCAACGGACAAATTTCCACCGGTCTAATGTCCATTGCTCGTGTTTCTTGGCCCAAGCAAGTCTCTTCTTATTATTGGTGGCCTTTAGTAGTGGTTTCTTTGCAGCAATTTGACCATGAAGGCCTGATTCACACAGTCTCCTCTGAACAGTTGATGTTGAGATGTGTCTGTTACTTGAACTCCGTGAAGCATTTATTTGGCCTGCAATTTCTGAGGCTGGTAACTCTAATGAACTTATCTTCTGCAGCAGAGGTAACTCTGGTTTTGCATTCCTGTGGCGGTCCTCATGAGAGCCAGTTTCATCATGGTGCTTGATGGATTTTGTGACTGCACTTGAAGAAACGTTCAACGTTCTTGAAATATTCCGTATTGACTGACCTTCATGTCTTAAAGTAATGATGGACTGTCATTTATCTTTGCTTATTTGAGCTGTTCTTGCCATAATATGGACTTGGTCTTTTACCAAATAGGGCTATCTTCTGTATACCTCCCCTACCTTGTCACAACAAAACTGGTTGGCTCAAACGCATTAAGAAGGAAAGAGATTCCACAAATTAACTTTTAAGAAGGCACACCTGTTAATTTAAATGCATTCCAGGTGACTTCATGAAGCTGGTTGAGAGAATGCCAAGAGTGCAAAGCTGTCATCAAGGCAAATGGAGGTTATTTGAAGAATCTCAAATATAAAATAGATTTGTTGAACACTTTTTGGGTTACTACATGATTCCATATGTGTTATTTCATAGTTTTAATGTTTTCACTACAATGTAGAAAATAGTAAAAAAATTAAGAAAAACCCTTGAATGAGTAGGTGTTCTAAAACATTTGACCAGTAGTGTGTGTGTGTATAAAATGTAAACGTATGACTTCCAGAGGCCTTCTAAAAGCCAAAGATATGTTGACTTTATGTAAAAAGTATTGGGGTGAATTAGTGCCTTTTCTCCTCTTGTAAATGCACCCAAATAATCAGAAAATATATAATGATTTGTACTTTTTGATAAAGCGCCTTATCAAAGTCAAAAATTCAGACTTTAAAAAAATAAATGTGTACTTCACCCTTCTTGCCATAATATGGACTTGGTCTTTTATATACTGTGCAATATCATGGGAATCCATGGTGAATGGAAAGGACTACTGATCAGATAGGGGAAGGGGGGTTGCAGCTGGCCAGTTAGATGACTTTTGACCTCTCTCTGTGTTTGTTTTTATTTGTCCTGGGTGACTTGTTTTGGATGTAGAACATTTGACTTTATTATTTTTTGACGTTACTATTTTTCCAGGGGAGGTTATGCTGTTTATACAATCATTTGTATAATTGTAAATGTAATGCTTGGAAGTTGGAATGTATAGGAATCTATCTTCATATTTACCTCTGAATGTCTTTAAGATAGATTAGATCCCTTTGTAGAACTTGACAATGTGATTATTTGTACTTCACTGACTTTTTGTTGTTGTTGTTTAACTATAATTTTTAGAGCCATGCCTTCGTATTGGTAGCTATGCCTATCTTTGAATTTTGTCCCTGCGGTTTTCTGTTTTTTGGAATATTTACAAGAAATATAAAAATCCAACTGCTAAATTAAGGCTAAAGAAATGAAAATGAATTTGAATATTTGCATGTGTATGCTATGAAATGCTACAGTATATGCAAGTGTGTTAGTGCAAGTATGTCCTTACATCTGTATGTTTGTAGGTCACTATCCCTTTCACTATCTGAATGGACACAATCATTCTCTCATCCTGTTTCTCTTCTCCATCTTTCACTTAGCATGGGGCAGAAAAGGGCTCGCCTCAAAGCTGAATAAATCAACAGTGATAACATCTTCTCACCACTTCATATTCCTAATGTGATCAGAGGGAGAAGAGAGAGGGTCAGAGAGAGAGTGAGAGATATAATCACATAGAGAGAGAGGTAGGGTCAGAGGGAGAGAGGCTGGGGGGCGGGGGCATTGCTTTTGGAAGGCTGTTGGAACACATTTCTTTAGGAAGTGGGTTAACTAAGGAGAGGATTTGGGCTCATAAACATTAACACATTAGCAGCATACAGTGGGGGAAAAAAGTATTTAGTCAGCCACCAATTGTGCAAGTTCTCCCACTTAAAAAGATGAGAGAGGCCTGTAATTTTCATCATAGGTACACGTCAACTATGACAGACAAAATGAGAAAAAAAAATCCAGAAAATCACATTGTAGGATTTTTAATGAATTTATTTGCAAATTATGGTGGAAAATAAGTATTTGGTCAATAACAAAAGTTTCTCAATACTTTGTTATATACCCTTTGTTGGCAATGACACAGGTCAAACGTTTTCTGTAAGTCTTCACAAGGTTTTCACACATTGTTGCTGGTATTTTGGCCCATTCCTCCATGCAGATCTCCTCTAGAGCAGTGATGTTTTGGGGCTGTCGCTGGGCAACACGGACTTTCAACTCCCTCCAAAGATTTTCTATGGGGTTGAGATCTGGAGACTGGCTAGGCCACTCCAGGACCTTGAAATGCTTCTTACGAAGCCACTCCTTCGTTGCCCGGGCGGTGTGTTTGGGATCATTGTCATGCTGAAAGACCCAGCCACGTTTCATCTTCAATGCCCTTGCTGATGGAAGGAGGTTTTCACTCAAAATCTCACGATACATGGCCCCATTCATTCTTTCCTTTACACGGATCAGTCGTCCTGGTCCCTTTGCAGAAAAACAGCCCCAAAGCATGATGTTTCCACCCCCATGCTTCACAGTAGGTATGGTGTTCTTTGGATGCAACTCAGCATTCTTTGTCCTCCAAACACGACGAGTTGAGTTTTTACCAAAAAGTTCTATTTTGGTTTCATCTGACCATATGACATTCTCCCAATCCTCTTCTGGATCATCCAAATGCACTCTAGCAAACTTCAGACGGGCCTGGACATGTACTGGCTTAAGCAGGGGGACACGTCTGGCACTGCAGGATTTGAGTCCCTGGCGGCGTAGTGTGTTACTGATGGTAGGCTTTGTTACTTTGGTCCCAGCTCTCTGCAGGTCATTCACTAGGTCCCGCCGTTTGGTTCTGGGATTTTTGCTCACCGTTCTTGTGATCATTTTGACCCCACGGGGTGAGATCTTGCGTGGAGCCCCAGATCGAGGGAGATTATCAGTGGTCTTGTATGTCTTCCATTTCCTAATAATTGCTCCCACAGTTGATTTCTTCAAACCAAGCTGCTTACCTATTGCAGATTCAGTCTTCCCAGCCTGGTGCAGGTCTACAATTTTGTTTCTGGTGTCCTTTGACAGCTCTTTGGTCTTGGCCATAGTGGAGTTTGGAGTGTGACTGTTTGAGGTTGTGGACAGGTGTATTTTATACTGATAACAAGTTCAAACAGGTGCCATTAATACAGGTAACGAGTGGAGGACAGAGGAGCCTCTTAAAGAAGAAGTTACAGGTCTGTGAGAGCCAGAAATCTTGCTTGTTTGTAGGTGACCAAATACTTATTTTCCACCATAATTTGCAAATAAATTCATAAAAAATCCTACAATGTGATTTTCTGGATTTTTTTCTTCTCAATTTGTCTGCCATAGTTGACGTGTACCTATGATGGAAATTACAGGCCTCTCTCATCTTTTTAAGTGGGAGAACTTGCACAATTGGTGGCTGACTAAAAACTTTTTTCCCCCACTGTACTATTTAGCCTCAATCTATATGAAATAATAAACATGTTTGTTACATCTCTGTGCTCAAAAGGTTATTCTGAGGTGAGCCTCTGGCGTACATCTGGGCTACATCCCAAATAGCACCCTGTTTCGTATATAGTGCACTACTTTTGACCAGAGCACTACATACTGTAGGGAATAGGGTGTGATTTGGGACACACATCTGGGTTTACACAAGGCAGGTATTGATGTACAGAAAATCACATCTCTGTGACATTTATAGAGCCAATTATATATGAAATTGGCCATTTTCTAACTTCCCCCTTTTATACTCTGTCTGTGAGGTTGTTATGGTGCAAAATGAAACAAATTAAACCTTTTTTTTTTTTTTACTCTTCTGACTGCACTGGTTTCCTCTACTTACATTCCTATTTCCTTGCACTCTCTCTCTCTCTTTTCCTATCTCGGTCAACTTTGATAGGCTCTTAGGCTCTG